GCCATAAATTATCATTACCTTGGCTATTACTCATCCCTAATATGTCTTGACTTCTCACACTTAGTCGTAGATTAAGTGAAGATTTGCCACTTGTGACTTCATGCATTCTTCAACCTAAAATCTACTCCTGCGTTTTACTTTCATTTTGGTAACATCGAAGAGAATTTTTCATCTTGACCGTAATTCCCTTCTTCACCTTCAACTCTCAAAGATAATCTACTTTCACCACTACCCGATCCAAGATTTACAAGGTGGTTTTAACTTTGGATGTTCAGATTTTGTGCAAGTTAAGTGAAGACTCTAGAGTTAAGTTAGATCAATCTACTTGACACTTTTAACTTGGATGGTTGTGATATGCCATTTTGATGTGCTATAATATGGTAGAATTTGTGGTTGTTGGATTTGTTTTGCTGGCCTTGTACAAGTTCAAAATGTGTGTGAATTGTTTTCTTAAAGTGTAGTATTGTTGGCAAGTGCAATTGTTAAATCTGAACTTGGAAATATTATCCTTGAGGCAATTATTGAATTTTTCTTGCTGGTCTTATGCATGTTTAAAAGGTATTTAATCGTTTTACTTAAAGTGGAGTGTATTTGGTGAGTGAAAAATGATGAATCTGAATTTGGAAAGGTCATATTTGTAAGTTTATATTCAACCATTGTTCGAAAAATTTGTTGATTAGATTTTACTTTCAAAATCTGGATTTATTTATGAACTCGAGTAGACTCTACTCTTTAAATCTGGATATAAGTATTTCTGACCTCAAGTAGACTTTACTCTTTAAATCTGGGTATATATATATTTCTAAACTCGAGTAGACTTTACTCATTAAATTTGGATATATGTATTTTTTTAACCGAGTAAATTTTACTCTCAAAATCTAGATGTGTATTTTCTGAACCGAGTAGATTTTACTCTCAAAATCTGTATATATCTATTTTTCAACCCGAATAGATTTTACTCTTAAAATCTGTATATATCTATTTCTGAACCTAAGTAAATTTTACTCTCAAAATCTATATGTACCTATTTTTGAATCAAAGTAGATTTTACTCTCTAAATTTGGATATATCTATTTCTAAATCTGAATCTGGACATACTTATTTCTGAATCTGAACAGATTTTACTTTTAAACCAAAATATGTTTACTTCCTAAATTTGAGTATATTTACTTTCTAAATTTGAATAGATTTACCTTATGAATCGAGTAGATTTACTTTATGAACTTGAGTAAATTTTTAACCTTTTGAGTCTGATCACATATTATTTCGTACTTATTGCTTGAATAATGCATTTCATTGCTTTAAGGAATATATGATGTAAAAAAGATGGTGAGTATATGCATGCAAATACTTATTTATCATGGCTTGCATGAGAATAATATATTTTCCGTTATCCACAAATCAACAATGACGATGCCCCATGTGTCGGGATGCCCTATAGGTTGGATGCCTCGGAGGGTGTACCGAGATACCTCGGGAGTTGAGATGTCCCGTTGGTCGGGATGCCTTGGGAATGTTCGGGAAATTGTGTTTGTGCCTGAGTTTGAAGTACTATATACCACATGTAGTTCTACTATGTGGATCGACGTGGGTCTTATGGAGCAGGTTCCCTATCGATTCGTTGCATGGTACTACAAACTTGACGGCAAGTTAGTTGGTCCGTTGAGGGGCTTCGACATTGATGACGATGGTCACGCAACGGAGAATGAAGTTATTGATCCATGACATCATTAGTCCTTTGTACAGGCAGGCTTTTGAATAGTATGGAGATAGGCTACCTCGACCTACCTAGACTTTTGTTTTTGTGATGAAATGGAGTTGTAAATCAGATAAGTAATGTAAATAAAGAAGCACAAGTACTTTAACTATATTTGTGTGATTTTCATGGTTAAGAAATGATCATTTAACTTCCGCTTACCTCATTATTAATAAAGCTTAATAACCATAAGAGACACGTGTCGCGCATGACGTTCTGGAGTGTCACACATTACATCGTAATCCTTATTACAACTTATTTTCTACATGAACCTCCCTAAAGGAATAGCTATTCCTGCCAGACTGTAATAATTATTCCCATAATATCTTTGTCTTTTCTTTTCACTCACTTTAACAATGCAAGATTATTATTTATCATTGAAATTTTTATTGATAATATGATGACAACATCAATTATAGGTTTTTGACTTAATCAAATATCATACAGGTAATAAAAAAACATAATAGCTAAGTTATTGATGTAATAAACAATAATGTTCTCTAGATAGTTCCTAATTGTTATTATTTTATTAAACTATATTCATAAGATAATAATTAGCATAATATTAATTGCTCCCTATTAGGTACGATTATCTAAATTTTTAGTCATTCATAGTATAATGATTATGTTGATTATTAATTATACTAATAAATGCTCATATTGTTATATAATTATTATTCCAGACATACTATTAATTATATAATATTAAACAATATGTACTTTGATTTAATCGCATACCATATGTTTAGATTTAAATCTTATTCATAACTTAATTATCATATAATATATGATATACACATATTAAAGTTATGTATTATCCTCAAGATTGGTTATAAAGGTGATAATTACTGTAATATAATATTTACTTTAATGTAATCACATGATATGTGCTTACTTTTCATTATAATTACATACAAATTGCTATAATATAAATAGACATTTGGTATGATAAATCATATATCTACTAATTTATATGGGTATTAAACTCATGAATCATACACTCCCTCTGATTCTGATTTCAGAGACATTTTGGAAATTCTGATGCTATCCTCTCCTTATTATGTATGTTATTCAAGAAGCCAAATGATGTAATATGTATCACATTACTCAAACCAAACAATGTAAATTACAGCTTTCGACTTTATTACATTACGGCATAACAGCCATTACCTTACAACCTTATTCTATCATTGTAACCAAACGGGGTGTATAATCAAAAGATGAAGTTGCAGTGAAAGCCCAAGCCATAGCCAAACCTAATCAACAGGCAGATGTCAATGGCCAGCCGATTCATGGTTACGGAATAGCCGGTGCCTAGTGAGTCGAGAACACCAGACCAACCTTCCTTCTATAGTTGTTCCTAAAAATAGTATAGTGAATAACATTTTTGTATCGGATCGTACCATATCCAATTTAGCTCGGGCATCCAGTTTCTCGAGCTAGATACACGGAACAATTCGACACAACAACTTTTTTCGGCCTACCATAATCTCATTAGGAGAGCGGCATCAGTTCCCGATCAGTTTGTGCACGAGAAGCCAACCCCACCTCAAAGCTCCTCGGAGTTATAATCGTTTTGTCCTAAAACTCCTAACAAAAACGCATTGATGCTACTCCTATAAATTAGTTGTATCATCCCTTCCGCATTACTTACTCTTCACTCCAATGCCACGCAACTCCACTCACAAGGATATGTGAGTACGGGAGAATCCGGTCCGTGACACGGAGCTGAGCTAGGCTTTGTGTGAGCCTTCGAAAAGTAAGAGGCCTCAATGGTTCGAGCGAAGCCCCCACTAATTAAATCGCATTAATATTTAATTACATCTTTTTCTAACCACTCTTACCTTGCAAGATAGTCTAACCCACACGAGAAAAACACACCCCCACATCAACATCACGGCCGCGAGCTCCAATTCCGCCGACTCCCTTGGCCTTTTGCTCGGTTGAATATTCAAGAAAAATACGATTGGACTAGTCTAATCACACAAAATATCTACATTGATCGAATTTACGAATGAATCGATGTATTGCGACTAAGGTGTTAAGCCGAAAGATGATTCGGAGAATTTCCGACATCATTTTCCAAGTTACGAACATATTACTAAATTTGACAGAGACCAGATGAGAGAGGTGAACAAGCCCGTCGAGACATCGTTTTCGCCTGTCTGAACGCCATCATCCTCAATCCCCGGAGACAGTCCGAACGGAACGCCCCCCCACGCTCGCTGACCGCTCCTTCGTCGTCTGGTCTGCCCTCGTCGCTTTCATGGACGATTCGAAGCTCCACCGAGATTGGTTTGGTCCATGCCCGTTTTCACGCTCTACCCCCCGGATCAAGGCCTCGCTGCTGATATCGGCAGCTTTCAGTGTTCTCTGTCGATGATTACCCCAATCGACGAAAGGAGCCAAAAGAGAAAAAACCGGTAAGGCAAAGGGCACGACTCAGTCCAACCATGTCGTCGAAAAGCTCCTCCTCGCAAGCTGTGGTAATTATACTGATTTCACAATGATTTCCCTTGACTACTCAACCAAGGGAAAAAAAAAAAAAACCAACATATAACAGAGCAGCCATTTAAGTTATCGCCTCTCTCGTCGTACGCCGAACACACGAATTGTGCATGCATTCGTAGTGCGGCTCATATATAGATCTGAATGGAATGTGAACCTCACGTCCGTGATGAACATGAATTGTATCCTATCGTATCGTACTGGCGTTTGAGCACGAGTCGTTCTCAAACCATCGGCTAGATCAGCTGTTTTACTGGTCCATCCATAACATTAATAAATGATTCGAGGGAGTGGAACCGGGTTCCGTTTTTCTCGGGGCTTGTTTTTTGGCAAGAAAGCGAATTGGAATTGGAATTGGAATCGGAATCCGAAATGATGACAGTGACAAGGACGAGCATGATATTTTGGTACCTTTAGCCGTCCAAGTCTCGCGGCAAATCATCGTTCTCAGTTATCATCATTTGCTCATAACTTCTTGGGTTCACACGATGCAATATAATAATAATAATAATAATAATAAATTTATAAAATCAGTATCAGTCCAAAAGATTCATCCCTAAACAGCTGTTTTACAGGTCCATCCTAAGCTTCCCAAAGTCCTGAGAAGACGGTCGCCGTCAACGGTACCGAACCGTCACGGAGACGCGAGCGATTGGCTTAGATTGACCTTATATTACAAATTTTATAAACCCGCAGAAAAAGAAATGATAATAAAAAGAAGAGAAGATATGGAAAAATGGAAAGACAATTGCGAAAAGTGCCATTTGCTTGGGAAGCATAGCTGACTGCCTGAGTAACACGGTGCGAGCTTTATAAAGCTCCCCTCGTTCCGGATGCCGGTGGCGATTCGAGACGACCGCCGTCTTGTTCACTTCCTCCGTCGCAGGAGAGTCTCCGGTCGCCGCCGATGCGCATTCCTCCTCCCTCTCGGAGCACCCAGCATCGCGACGGAGCCGACGACCGCAGGTAAAGCTTGAGGTCTCCATGGGCCTGCTCCATTATCTATGTTTCGCTTTGAGCTGGAGACGATGACCACCTCGCCAGCAAAGCGTTTCAGGTTTTTTTTTCTGTTTCGCCGTTCTCTCTTTCCGGTGAGCTGTTCAGTCGAGAGTTGCTGGTCCCGTAAGCAATGAGCTGCGCTGTTTTGCGTCACTCGCGGTCGGTCAAAACTCGTGGGTTGACTTCCCGGTTTCTTGAGCTCTTGAGTTCTGTGGACGCTCGTGTGTCGTTTCCGACCACATCTTGAGCTGATCACTGTAATTGCGTTGAACCAGCGGGATGAACTGTGTGGGCGCACTCTTGATTAGCCGACTTTCGTGATCATACGGAAGTTCCTTCGCTCTGCAACTCTGAAAGAAAAGTAAAAGATCCACAATGCTTGTGCTGACCGGACTGTGCTTCATTAGTCCAATCCACCAATGTTTAGAAAGTCAAATTAGAGGGTATGACCTTCATCGTCCCTTTATGTGGCCATAGATGCTAGTCACAAGCATCGGGAGTTCGGCTGCTAATATCGAGCAATTCGAGCTCGCTCGCTCGCTCGCCGAAGTGTGATATTGATATTGAAGATTCTCGTGGTATTATTTACTTTTACTCTGATTTATGCAGGCCCAACTCATGACTATGTTTGGCTTAGTTAGTTATTTTGTTATGCTGAATTGGATTGGAATAACTATTGCATTCTTCCGGATCTGCCTCTGAAGTTGTAGAACTTTGCTGTTTGTTTCATGAGAGATGGTGCCGTTCGCGGGTCCATTTCCAAGATTAGAATCGAGATTAAGTGATATATGAGCTGGTGTGATAGACTGGAAAAGAAAAAAATTTGACTTCGCAAATCCACCTTAAAAAGAGCATGAATTTCCATTCACTTAGTGAAATTTGAAATGGCGAACCTGACCACAGTTCTCGATTTGTCGCTCTTTCACAAATGGAACCTTGGAGATTTCGCCTTTGTAGAGAAATGAAGGCAGAAACGATTTATGTGAATCGCGCTTCTCTATTGCAGCCTGAAGACATTATAGCTTCTGCAACCATTGTCGAGAATCCAAATTGAGACAAATCAAAGCAGAGACGAGAATTGCCAAAACCCATGGGGGAAGAAGATGTTTACACGAAAGATGGAACGGTGGACTACAAAGGCAACCCTGCCAACAAAAAGAAAACTGGAACATGGAAGGCCTGCCCCTTTATTCTAGGTACTTCACACAACCACTTCCTTAAAAGAGCTTTATTGAACCTTATTCACAGAAAGAAGATGCTTATGGTATCTATATCTTATCCGTAGGCAATGAATGTTGTGAAAGGCTGGCATACTATGGCATGAGCACCAATCTGGTGCTTTACTTCAAGAACCGCTTACATCAACACAGTACAACCGCTTCTAACAATGTTACGAACTGGGGAGGAACGTGCTACATCACTCCTTTGATTGGAGCTTTTTTCGCCGATGCCTATCTAGGGAGATATTGGACTATAGCATGCTTCTCGATTATCTATGTTCTTGTAAGTCGCATTTACATATTTTTCCTCATCTGAGTACTTGATAATCAACCTGCGCAGTTTGTGCTGCACAAATGAGGGGTTCCGCATTCTTTGTTGAACATTCACAAATTCAGCTTACCGACCAGTACTGATAGCATACTCTAACAATCGATCAAGATTCGGCAAGCCTTACTTATTATATCATTATACACAGGGGATGACACTGCTGACGCTCTCGGCATCAGTCACGGGACTAAAGCCAACCTGTACAGGGAAAGATAATTGCCACGCTACGAATATCCAAAGCGCAGTGTGCTTTATAGCACTCTATCTCATAGCCCTGGGGACTGGAGGGATCAAGCCTTGTGTCTCATCCTACGGAGCTGATCAATTTGATGATGCTGATGAGGCTGAAAAGAAACGCAAGGGTTCTTTCTTCAACTGGTTTTATTTCTCAATCAATATAGGCGCACTCATTGCGTCCTCTGTTTTGGTCTATATACAAGACAATGTGGGTTGGGGATTGGGTTTCGGCATTCCAGCAGCTGCTATGGCAATTGCAGTATGTACTTTCTTTTCGGGCACTCGCCTTTATCGTAACCAAAAGCCTGGAGGGAGCCCCCTCACGCGTCTCTGTCAAGTGGTGGTGGCATCCTTCAGAAAATATCGAGTGGAAGTACCAGCTGACAAGTCTCTCCTGTATGAGACTGCGGACGCCGAGTCTGTAATCAAAGGAAGCCGCAAGCTTGATCATACCCAAGATTTGAGGTTAGTGCTTCAAATTGCATCTGCGTGATTACTCTGTTCAACCTTTCTTAGATCAGGATTCCTCAATTCATTCAGGTTAAATTAGTCAGTCACTTGAGTTGGTTGAAAGTGAGCAATCCCAATATATCTCTTAATCGTGCAGCACATATTGGATCAATTGCATGATTGTTAGTTCCAAGGTTATACTGCTGTTTATGTGAGACAGTTAGGATACAAATCCTAAGATCAACTCTGATCCTCAAGAGATTTGCTATCTTCATCAAATTTATAGTGGTGAAATTTTTATTTCTGCATTTGCTCTACTTTATGAGTTGAACCATTTCATTTTAATAATGCTAGGATGCTTTACATTTCAAGATATCCCTGAGCACACTCGCTTGTCCTAACATTAGTTTCTTTTCATTCTCTAAATCTGCAGTTTCTTTGACAAAGCTGCTGTGGAAACACAAACCGATCACATTAAGGAACCCGTGAATCCATGGAGGCTGTGCACCATCACCCAAGTGGAGGAGCTAAAGGCGATCATACGGCTGCTTCCTGTATGGGCCACCGGAATCGTCTTTGCCACTGTGTACAACCAGATGGGTACCTTGTTTGTTTTACAAGGCTCTACTATGGACCCTTACGTTGGAAATTCTAGCTTCAAAATTCCAGCAGCCTCTCTCTCTATCTTTGACACCCTCAGCGTCCTATTCTGGGTCCCTGTATACGACCGCATCATTGTTCCAGTGGCAAGGAGATTCACGGGTCACAAAAGCGGTCTGACCCAACTGCAGAGAATGGGGATTGGCCTCTTCATATCCATCTTCGCCATGATATCGGCAGCAATACTAGAGGTCGTTAGACTCAAGATGGTAAGGAGGCATGGCTACTATGATTCCACGTACGTACCGATGTCAATATTCTGGCAGGTCCCCCAGTACTTCCTCATCGGTTGTGCAGAAGTGTTCACATTCATTGGGCAATTGGAGTTTTTCTACGAGCAAGCGCCCGATGCCATGAGGAGCATGTGCTCTGCTCTCCAGCTCACCACGAATGCACTCGGAAACTACTTGAGCTCGCTCCTTGTGACTATTGTCACAACTATTAGTACAAGACACGGGAAACTGGGATGGATTCCAGACAATCTGAACCGCGGTCACCTCCATTACTTCTTTTGGCTTTTGGCGGTCCTCAGCGTGATCAACTTGGGAGCTTTTCTCTTGGTAGCGAGGTGGTACACGTATAAGAGGGCGGTGGGGACGCTCCGCTGAAAGTGCAGGTCTCTTCCAGCCCAAAAACTTGTTTCCACAGCGACCTCAGTTTGGAGCGTGACTTAAACAGATGTCTTGATCGGCATCTGCTTCGCCGGTTCAAGCTAAAGAATGGCCTGCTTGAAGTGAAGTACATGTTTCTACTTTCTGTTGTGTGTATGAAAAAACAACTGGTTACCAATTGCTTCGTTGTGTCATTGTGTAATCTAAGAATCAAAATGGAAGTGAAAGTAAAAGTATAGCGCAATCTATTTTCTCGCGTTTGCTTTTCACGTCAGATTGCGCTGAAGTCCCGTGCAAAAATTGTTTTTCCTTCGGTCCTTGTTGCTCAGCTTTTTCTATGCTCAATGTAAGTTGGGTTCATTCAGTAACAATTATTCATTCAGTGGTGGGCAGTGTCACGTCGGATCAAATGTTTGAGGCAGGAGTCCTGGGGAGACCCGACAAACGGCGACACGAAACAAACGATCGCAATGTCTTTTATGTTGTTGCACGAGTAGACATTGTGCATGTTCAAGCCTTGAATCAGTTTAGAGGATATTTCCTCCTATCAGAAGCATCGTCTACTTCTCCCCAACGTGGGCCATTTTTGTCAGAAATGAACAACAGCTACTCGTTGGCTCTTGCTTTGAGGATGCAAGGCCCCCAATTCTAAAAACTGGCAAACCAAAAATACGTTCCACCCAAACAAAGAGCAGAAATAAACACTAGTGATAACAACAATAAGCGAATACTGGTGAACCGAATTTATTTCGACTGGGCTTGGGTGGGGTGCGCCAGGCATGGGCTGCAGTGCAATGCCCGAGCAACGCTTGAGAAGCCTAGTAGCAAGCTACCGTGGTGGCCTCTCCCCCGAGAGAAATTAATTTAATATCATGTGGACTGATGGCCCACGTATCAGATATTAAACTGATAAGAACAGATACTACACTTGATCTTAGCCAAAAGGCCGAGAAAGGTATGCTTGGAACGTTGCCTAGCCTCCTCCTTTGTGTCCTGCTCTGGTCCGTCATGCTTTTCGCATTCCCTGTGTGGGACAGTCTCACCGTTTCACGAAAACCTCCAGTGGAGTTTGAGATCGAGAGAGGATTGAAACAGAACAATCTCATGGGGTTGTATATGGCAGCGTACTGATTTTGGTTCAGAGTTCTAATCCAATCCTTACAAGAAAGATTTTTTTTTATTTTTTATTTTTTTTTGATAACCGAGGTGTCCGCGCAGCCGGCGAGCTAGGGCTCAAACCAGCGGTGATGCCCGACTAGTCCTCGAGGGGGGCTAGCGCAGCATCCCACCGCCACGACCCCCACTTAAATCACCGATGAGCGAGTTTGAACCCAGGACCTCTCGCGAAAGGAACTGAGCGCAAACCAACGCGGCCACCGATGGGTGGGACTTACAAGAAAGATTATGCAGTCACTTGGCTTAGAAAAGCAATCGATCTGTGTGTTGTCTGTTGGCGGCAATGGAACACCAATCCATTTACTTACGATGAGGCAGAGAACAGAGGGAAAACTCGAAAACTAGAAACGCAAGGCTTGGTGTGAAGCAAGAATCTATGGTCCTATTACTCCTGCTCTTTCGTTGTTACCCATGCGAGAGAGCCCAAGAGATGCTAAAATACTACTCTGTACATATGGCTATGCCGGCCGACTAAACTGAACTGGAGTTGGTTCATTTTTTCTTTAATTAGGACAGCAGATGCAAGAAACATTTGCTCCATATGTTCTGCATTTTGAAGCCTGAACTGGTCCATTGATAACGTTGGTTGGAAGCTAACAGTCCAGTTTTCGAATTTGAGAGTTACAAGGATTGCGAGCGCACGGTCACGATTCTTTAATGAACATATGGAGATAGTCACATACTTCTCTTCCTCTGAGCCCCGACATTGCCACAGGTGTTGGCTACTCTTCAGCAAGGGAAAACTCCATAAACAGGCTCTCTGTTCTAAGCTCCTACAACTCGAAGTGGTCACATATAGCCTGTTAGTCAAGAGGGTATGATTTGGCGATCAGCAGTGCAGTGTTCGGGTTCTGACGTCGGTCAAATGAGTATCGCTTGAAAAATGATTAGACTTGAGACTAATTCAATAGCGGGGCGGTGCTCTCAAGGAACTGATTCCATAAAACAGTAAAACTTGGAATGAATTGTGAGCATTATTGTTATCTCAGGGTGGAATCTTTTGCATAGCTAAGTTCAGCTAGTTTCTTTTGTATAGCTAAGTTCAGCTAGTTCAATATCTGAAGCTAATTGATTGTCGTTAGGAGACAGTTGCTAAGCGAGACATGTTTTAAGGGGCTAAGAAAAAATCAGTTGAGGAAGCCCCTTCAAAAACGGGCGTATGCCACTAGTTGTGACGAGCACACGGTATTCTTTAGTAAAGAGCGAAAGAATAGTTTGCTCTGTGCTCATCACATGGCTGCGTGATTTGCCCAATTTTACAACCTCGTCTTTTGTGACTGGCCTTGCTGCCCATGTTCTTGCCTTTCATCCAATGTGGTACGTTTCATAAGAAGAACTAGGGTGGGCTTTTTGACAAGGAGCCATGAATTTGTGGAACATTCACCATCATAAAAAGACTCCAATGCTCAGTGTATAATAGAACGGGACCACTTAGCACAGATAAACCCGAGAAACACTGACAGATCACCATTGTCTTTTGGATTCTTCGCTTCAGGAATGATGTTTGCTTGGCTTCCAACAGCTACAACCCAATAGTTTTTCAGCAACACAGAGAGGCAGAGAGTCGGAGACCGCACCCGAGAGCTTTGCGGACTAGTTAAGCAACACAAAAGCATCGTCTTCGCGTACCAAGTAGAAAACCAAAAAATATGTGTCAATTAAACAAAGTACAAAAATAAACGAAAGTGATTATGACACGCTAACACAATACTGGAGAAGCAAATTTACTTCGACTGGGCTTGGGTGGGGTGCGCCAGGCAAGGGCTGAAGTGCAACTCCCGAGCGACGCGCGAGAGGCCCAGTAGCAAGCCACTGTGGCGGCCTCTCCCCCTAGACAAATTAATTTAATATCATGTGGACCGATGGCCCACGTATCAGATATTAAACTGATAAGAACAGATACTACACTTGATCTTAGCCAAAAGGCCGAGAAAGGTATGCTTTGGAACGTTGCCTAGCCTCCTCCTTTGTGTCCTGTTCTGGTATGTGATTCTTTTCGAATTCCCCATGTGGGACTCCTTTTCATGGTTTCCCTTCGCAAAATGAAGAAGAACCATAGCTGACTTGGACGACTCATGAAAACCACCAGTGCCTGGCATTCTCCATATTGGACAAGTGACGAGAACTCGAAATGGGCAAAAAGATTTGGGTGAGGCAGTCCACGGTCTGGCGTGGACTGGTATGGCATTAAACGACGAAGAAGTAAGGATGCTCGAAGCATGAACTGGGTGCCAGGATAAGTTCGATTTAAAGCTAACCAGTCCCTAGTGCGCGCCCATAAGAGAGAGAGAGAGAGAGAGATGTGGAAGCCGGAAGGCATTACCGAAGTAGTTGAGGAGAACATACGTGTTGTTATCTCCACTTGTAAGAGCTTGAAGATTGGATGGAGGACGGTGATGGATGTCACATTTAACCAATTTTAGAGAAACTGATATTTGACAAGATGCTGGAGTTTGCATTACGTTGCATTCAAACTGCTTTTTGAGAACTAAATGTGAAGCATCTTTGTGATGAAGGAAGCTATCTGAAATTTTGCTCCAGCATTTGTGTTTTTTGCTTCTGTCTCTAGGAGAGTTCCCTAAGGTTAAGAGAGTCCCTCCAAAATAATCGAGGACGCCACTAACTTACAGTGAACACACGGAAACGGTACTCTCTCATCAAAGGCAAAAGAAAAGAACAGGTCACTCCGTGCTCACCACACGGCCGCCCGATTCTGGCAGATGACCTGATTGGGATTTTTTCGAGCAGATCCCTGTCAAACGTGTCTCTTCTCCTTTCAACTTAGGACTTCCTATTTCCTAGGATTCTGATTATTGGCATCAGGTGTTTGGCTACTTTTAGACGAAGGTACAAGTCCAAACAAAGTCTCTTATGTGGTTTATGCTCTTGCAACTCTCAGAGTCATCTGTGGGCTGATCCTTTTGTGCTCGGCGGTGCATTACCGGCATTTGCCACAGAGAAAGTTAAGATGATATCAGCCTTTCCATGGTCGAAGCTCAACAGAAATAGGTAACTTGAATATGTCAAAGCTTGCAGAATTAAGTGTTGAAATTGCTTTCACCGCTTGCAAAGTAAGGGTTCCATAAACTGTCAAACACAGTGCAGGTTTCAATGACTACAAAGAACAGTCATATTTTGAACTCTATTTTAGGAGCTCCCTCAGTTGAAGGAACCCCTCCAAAAATAGGTGTATGCCACTGATTGTGGCGAGCACACGGTATTCTTTAGTAAAAGGCGAGAGAATAGTTCGCTCTGTGCTCACCACATGGCTGCGTGACTCTTCCTTGTGGGCGACCTCCTATTTTTCTGACTGGTCTTGCTGCCGTGTTCTTGCCTCTTTTACTGTGTGGGACGTTAGAACTGTCCGTGCTGCTACCGCTGGTTGGAATATTGGAGTGGAGCATTTCATCCGTTTAACTTAATATCAGCACCTAATGGGTCCTTTTTGGTTTCTCAAATGAGAGCTAAGATCAGAAACCATGGTGGTGAATCGAAATGGTAGTCCCCATTTGCCATCTCGAGTGAGGTTTGCGCATGCAGAAAACACGACGTCTTACAGACCCAAGATGAGTCCTCAACCTTCAGAGAAGAGATGAGTGGCGTATGAAACTGTCAAATCTAATGGTGGGCCTTCAGGCGAGTATGCGCAGTCTTTAGATCAGCATAAGAAGACTCAGTTTCCAGTTGAACGGTTGAGATTTGTGAGAACCTTAAATAACTAGGAAATAGACTGAATCGTTGGGAAAAGTAAGAGGAGGACGACTTGTTGCTCTTATCCAGAACCTCCTCCAATAAATCCCAGACAAGAGTTTTGGGGAAGGCCTCCGAGAGTGGGTATGTAGTCAGATAGAATCAAATTCGCATGACGCCTGGTTAAAGAGCTGAACTTTTGTACGTCAGTGAGACACTTTCGCCGTCATACATCATCTGTACACGCCTTAGCTACTCCAATATGGGCACAAACCTGATGTTTATATGCTGAAGTTGGGATTGCTCACCCATTGCAGGCTTGCAGTGTAGTCTCCAAATTTTAATGTTTGGCAAATAAAAACTAAATACTCCTCTACATCCTCCCATGGACTTCACTGCTTGATATTCAGGGGCCATAAATAAGTTTGCTAAATTCCTGTTGAAGGTTTGTGCTCCGTCAACAAAAGAGTAGTCCAAAGACACTGCAGAACGTGGAGATGTCTGAAACTGGAAGCAAACTTGACGGCTCCAGTCCATTCACAAGTTTTTGTGATTTGTCCATATCCATGGTGTGTAGAGATAACCTAGCTAGCACATATCCAAACAAGATTTGCATCATTTGGAAGGTGAAACAACATCTGCAGTATCACAAACCACCGCAAGGAAAGCATGTGCGCTGCACTAGCGACGCGGCATTAAGGGCCTTATGGGACATTTGAATATTTACAGACATACAACTGATTTTACGTTGCTCACTGGCCTAGTTGTCCTCTAATCATCTTAGAATCTCCCTCAAGCAGTTTCCATTTCTATGAAATCATGAATATGAAGGTGTAGAGATCGTTCCCTGCCTTCTGTTGCAGTTTTTCCTTGTTGCACATTGACAGATTAAACATGTGGCTGAAATCTTCTGTTCCCCTTGATTAGGTTTCAACTCACACTTGATTCTCTGCCAAATACGTCGGACTTTGTTGGAAATTTTGACAATAGAGCATTTCAGCAGTTCTCTAGGCCCAGAACTCGACGATCTTACAAAATGCCAGCTCTAGCCAACACCGGAATTGAAGAGTCTGTATTAGACTTGTGTTATCTAAAGGATGATAGTGCAAGTGATACGAGTGACTACTCAAAATATGGCTCTGACTCTGAAAAGGAGCGTGAGGACATTGCTCCTGACCAAAGTATTGTTTCTAGTTGCTATGCTTCCAATGCTTTCGAGACGCAAGATGTCGGAGAAGTCCAGGTACTTCAGGCTCAATTCTGACAATGTTGATGACTATGTGGAGTCTTTGAAACATTTTCTTTCTCAGCATGATGAGAAGCTCATGCGTCAATTCCTTCGACTTATGCAAGTTCTGATTGGGCCGAGGAAATGTCTACTTATTGCAAGAAGCTTTTTTCCATTCTTGCCCTAGATTTCTCATACTTGCTGTCCTCAGAGAACCCGGAAGAGATATGTTTTCCGGTAGATAAGCTCACAAGTGATCCCATCGTGACTGTTGATAAACTGCTCAAGTAAATGTTGGTCGAAGAAATCCTGGATTGGTGAGCAGGCTCACATATTTTTTGGAGATCTTCAGGCCAAGAAGGACAAGTATTTGTCTGTTAAGAAAGAGTTGAGTGAGCTGAAGAGGAGAGGAGGGGATTTGCTGTCTCAGATAGATTCCAATTCGTCGGTTGTGCAACAAATTGATGAACAAATTCTCAGCTCCAATCTTGGTGAGCCAAAGTTGTTAGCAGACTTGAGTTGAAGAAGGTGGCAATTGATGGGATAATCGCTGAGCCAAAAATCATGGCAGACTCAATATTAACTGTGTCACGAGAGATTCAAATTGCCAGTGCTGAAATCCTGGGATTGGAACTGAAGAAGAAAACATAAGCCAAGCCAGTGGGCTGAAATCCTCGATTAGTGTGCACCCGTAAAAGGCTTTTCCTTTGAAAAATCTGTCTAAAGTTCAAATTTACGACGTGGACATGCATTCCAGTTTCTTCTGCACGGTTTCTACTGCCAGTTTCTACTATAACAATCAATCAAAGCTTCAGAAAGCTCTACTTGTATAATGTAAGAATCAAAATGGAAGTGAGTAAAAGCATAATGCAATCTATTCTCTCTCAATGCTTTTCACGTTGGATTGCTTTCCCAGCAGTCCTAGTTGCGCAGCCTTTTCTATGCTTTAATGTAAGTTGAGTTCATGTAGTAACAACTGTCAAGTGGCGGGCAGTGTCATGGTTGATCAAATGTTTGAGGCAGGAGTCCGACCCAACAAACGACTAGAATGTTTTTGTGTTCTTGCACGTCAAGAGGAGACTTCCAACTTCGACCCACTGGATCTTTCTCTTTCAAGCCTTCATCAGAGTATCAGAAGTGCAGAATAAACAGAAGTTATAGTACTAGGTGATAACTTGTTAAGCAAACATATTTATACTGGGCTTGGGTGGGGTGCGCCAGGCAAGGGCTGCAGTGCAACGCCCGAGCGACGCTTGAGAAGCCCAATAGCAAGCTACCGTGGTGGCCTCTCCCCCTAGAAAAATGAATTTAATATCATGTGGACCGATGGCCCACGTATCAGATATTAAACTGATAAGAACAGATACTACACTTGATCTTAGCCAAAAGGCCGAGAAAGGTATGCTTTCCACCATGGCATCGCCTCCTCCTTTGTGTCCTGCTCTGGTCCGTGATTCTTGTCCAACTCCCTGTGTGGGACTCCTTTCCATGGTTTCTCTTCGCCAAAAAGAAGAACCATAGCGGACTTGGAAGACTCATGAAAACCTCCAGTGGAGTTGAGATAAGAGAGCATCGAAACAGAACATGTCGGCGGTTCGGAGATGGCAGCATACTGATTTTGATACGGCACTGATATTTAATAGATAGTGGTGGCAAAAGAACGCCTTGCCTGCTTACTGCCTAGAACCTGGTATTCTCCATATTGGACAAGTGGCGAGAACTTGAAATGGGCAAAGGATTTGGGTGAGGCAGTCCACGGTCTGGCGCGGACCGGTATGGCTACGATGAAGAAGTAAGGATGCTCGAAGCCTGAATTGGGTGCCAGGATAAGTTCGATTTGAAGCTAACCAGGCCCTAGTGCACGCCCAAAATAGAGAGAGATGTGGAAGCCGGAAGGTATTACCGAAGTAGTTGACGAGAACATGCGTATGTTATCTCCACTTTAAGAGCTTGAAAATTGGATGGAGGACGGTGATGGATGTCACCTTTAACCAACTTTAGAGAAACTGATATTTGACAAGATGCTGGAGTTTGCATTACGTTGCATTCAAACTGCTTTTTGAGTACTAAATGTGAAGCATCTTTGTGATGAAGGAAGCTATCAGAAATTTTGCTCGGGCATTCGAGTTTTTCGCTTTTGTCTCTAGGAGAGTTCTCTAAGGTTAAGAGAGTCCCTCCAAAATATTGGAGGATGCTGCTCGCTTACGGTGAACACACGGAAGCGGTACTCTCTCATAAAGGGCAAAAGAAAAGAATAGTTCGCTCCATGCTCACCACACGGCTACCCGATTCTAGCAGATGACCCGATTGGGATTTTTTTTGAGTGGATCCCTGTTAAACGTGTCTCCTTTTT